CCATTATGACCGTCGATCGGCATTAGCGTGTTACATCAAGCTTGCGTGTGCACGAATGAGCCCGACATCTGTTTGCAACATTTTTTGGGGTCAACAAAATTCTTGGTTGGTTCATTGATCACAGGATTAATGCCTGTCTTAACTATCTTTAGGTGGCACCAGATTAATCAAATGATTAATTTTTTGAATGATGCCAAATTAAGTAGGATCACAGATTATAATATAAGTTGTCAAGAGATATTTTTCACTTTCACTGGAATCGACATGATCTAAGTCTCGTGGTTAATAGTAAACTATATTCCCATTCATCAATGAATACAAAACAAATGTCATCGTGTGAAAAGACCCTTCTTTATATAAAATTCAGACCAAGAAAATTCCAATATTGTACTCAAGGTTGATAAAATACCTAAGATTAATATTTAGTTAAAATTATTAATTATGTTTAAGTCTAATGACACAAAGGATGTTTCAAGTGCAAGAAGATTGATAACGACACTTTAGTATCTTTACTTATAAGGCCTGCTATCTGATCTTGTATTTCATCCTGTTCGATTTTTATTGCTGAAAACTTTTAGGGTGTGTTTGGTGTATACGTATTGCTGGATACTAGTGTACAAAATTTTAACTTGTATATCTTCTTCAATCATATCTACTCTCGTTGAGTCCAACATATTATACATGTTCACTATATACAAACTTGTTTCAGAAGAGAATTTTGAGCTGATTCTTGTTTTATTTAAATTAGAGTGACATCAATAACGCTCTGAAATTTGATCATTTTGTTATGCAATTGATGAATCAAATGTATAAGTTCGGAAATTTTCTTTGATTCATATAAAATGGTATTTGCAATTGATGGAGTTTATATTTATTATTTCGCTCGTCTTTGCTTAACTCACTCAGAATGTATAAAAAACTGTACAAAACTACTATTCATCAAGCAATATTTTGGACAAGGGATTCATGCCAATGAATGATTTTCTAAACGTTTGTACGTGCATTGGATATTTCTTGGACTGTTCTATCTGATGCGGGATAATTTTTTAGATCGATTTGAATGCAACATGTTACTATATTGTACATTAAAAAAAAGGTTTTTTACTATCATCTGTTATCTACCTGGATTAGTTCAAGTTCAGATGGTGCTGTGAGAACCTAAATGTATAAGCATATCTTTTCACTAGTGTGTATTTTACAATAGGGAGTATTTGGAGATTAATTCTAGACTGAATTCATGATCATCACAAAGCGGAATTTAGTAAACAAAATTATATTATTATTCACACATTAAGGAAATTACCATACAAATATGCTTCAGTATGTACACATGGCATATCACTTTACAATATCATAACTTGAAAACACTATTAATTTTACTAGGCATCAGACCAAGTAATGTCCAACTCACCCCAGTTATCTTCAGGTACTCCTAAGGCTTTCCAGACAGCCTTGGAGGCATCAACAATGTTATTAGGACATGGAGGCTGATAGTCATGGTCATCGTCACATCCCATGGTAGAATCACATTCATCGACGACCATAGCAGTTACACTCCTGCCATTAGCACTTATCGTGATATTGTTAAGGCACCTTGACCCTCCACTGTACCATCCAGTTGATAGTGCAACGACCAGTGTGTTATCAGAGTGGTACTTGTTGTCACATTCTGATGGTGCGCCTCCATCTCCACCCTTCTCGAAACTGTTAATTGTGAGAACTGCCTTAGTGCTTCCGGACACAGAGGGTGAACATTTGTAAGTGGGGTAAGGCTTCCCTTGTTTACAACAATCAGAGTCATTTTCCTGGTTGCATTGTCCGGGAGGTGGCTTTTTCCCAATTATTTTGCCACTTGGCTTGCATGCTTGAAGTCTAGCTTCTGAGAAATGAGTAGCAAGAAAGAGTAATACAAAAAGAAGTGCTCCTAATCTTATGTTTTTCATCTTTTCTCTCTGTCTTTTCTATACTTGGTATTGAGAAGTTCGGGTTTGTGCAAATCGTGATCAAGTACTAGTTGGTTTATATAAAGTTCGGCCAGAGAAAATGCCAAGATTGTGCTCAAGATATAAAAAATTCCTGAGATTAGGATTCATGAATAATATTATTGGTTGTAATACTGTCCACTTAGGGTTCAAGTGGAATACAGTAAATTATCACCGTCATTATCAGAATCTTCACTCGAATGCTCAAGTTATTAGAAAGGAGACGAAATGATCTACTTATTATTTATTTTCAAAGCAACCTTTCAAGTGCAGCCCATATTAACGGTGAGACCTAATCCATGATATTACGTTAAACTGCCTCATTTAAAAAAGGTTAATAAGAAAAGGTAAAATTTTATTTATTTATATCGTCTTTATCCATGTGATTATAACTAAGATAAAAACAAAAAAGGAAACTTTCTGAAGACTTGGATATCATTATTTTGAAGTTATCAGTCTCTAACACTGATATTAAAAAGTTTATCGGTCACGGGATAATAAAATAATTTTAATGATAAAAGAGTTGATAAGAGTAAACTACTGGCATGGACTGTTGAACATTCCACTGGATTATACCAGCCTGTCCCCATCCCTTCTCGAGAAACATGATTCATAACATATACCTATTGGCATGTAATCGACTAAATGGTACAATGGAGGGGAAAGGTGCCATAAGTGTGAAAAGCCAAAGCATAACGACTACGGTATTTGGTGAATTTGATTCCACCGTGGGATGCGATGAGGACATTATTTTGATTTTATCTCTTGAAAATCATCTTCTTACTCAGTGTCCAGCCATAAAAAGTGCTCCATTCACTTGAATCTTGATGACAGTAGTTTTGTACACAGTGATGAATGGAAATATAGTATATTACTAAGCAGAAGATTTAGAGTACAGTGTTATATTCTCTAATGTCTGAATATCATAGAGCAACCTATGTTAATCTCTGGTCCTACTAATATCTGACATCGTTCGAAAAATGAGTCATTTCACTCATACGGTGCTGCCTAAAGATACTCAGTGCATGCATTAACTTGTGTTTACTTACTAATTGTCCTAGTGCAGTGATATCATCTATGAAAATGTACTAAAAACCATCTCATATATGTCAGTAAATTTTATGTGACAACACAATGATTTAGGTTTGAAATAATAAATTCTACCGTCGCTTCTTGATTTAATTGCTACCTGAAATAAGTAAAGACAGTCGATCAAGAAACTTCTGCATGAATGTGCATAGGCTAAGAACTTTTATGCATTGAGCTGTAGGTATTCCCTTGCTAATTTTTGTACCTGAATGTGAGATTATTCATTCGTCCAAGGATTTCAGTTATTCAAAGGAGGATAATGATGAAAAATTTCAGTCTTTAGGTGGGGGCAGGGCGGTGGCCTTGAAGACTGTAACCGATTCTGTTTTCTTTGATTAGAACTCCATTATTTGGTAGTTGAAGGCACAAATGTTCATTTGAGAATTGACCTAACTAGGCTTAAAATTCAGCTTTAAGGTTGTAAGTTCGAGTCCTGGGCAAAAAAACTGTACATGCTGCCTCCTATTGTGGTCTATTGGATCTGTCACATTTTGACGCCTCTAGATGGTAGTGATTTTGTTTTTTATGATGCAATCGTGGTGGCTTTACGTACTCGTGAAAAATGGAAACTTAGCATTCTATATAAGTCCGATATATTTGCAGGAACAACTGGAGAAGAAGATAGCAGATTACGCAGAAAAAATAAGAAATAGGCTGGCCTTGATTCACAAGGAGGCAGAAGAGAAGAGATCAATGGTCGAAGCCAGACCAGGGGAAGAAAATCTCGAAGCTGAGAAGTACGGTGCAACTGGCCATGCTCCTAAGGCCATCTCCAGTGCTGCACCAAATTTTGCACCATTTTGCACCAAATCTTGCACCAAATTAAAATTTACCTTCAACCATTACACCAAAAGTTACACCATTTATTTTTTTATTTTAGAAATACATAAAATTTAGTAATTAATTCAGTAATTATTATATTCAATATTTTAAATTTATTTTAAATGCAAATAATAATAATAATAATTGTATTAAAAATTATATAACACAAATGACACAAATACCCTCCAACAATTCTTTTGACAAAATGAAAAAAGGGACAAATTGGACTTCGTACCATTTTGATATTTTGGTGCAAAGTGAATAGTATTCATTTTTGCACCAAAACACCAAAATGGTGCAAAATTTGGTGCCACATTCAAGCACTTTTGCACTAAATTTTGGTGCATTTTGTTGTCTCCATCGGAGATGTCCTAATAAGGGTTTTGGATGCCAAGTTTCTCCAGTTCTGGTACTGTATCAACTAGGAAAAGTCTCTGTCTTCCAGTATTATTTTATTTATTTTTGGGTAAAGGTAATTGATAAATATTCATTTGCACGTGTGATCATGTGCATCGCTAGTGTTTTCGACCATGTTCTAAAATGAGCGAAAATGCGCCGCCTAGACACGACGTGGGTCGAAAATGAGTCGAATTCGAAAAATGCGCGAAAAATACGTTTTCTATCTAAAAGACAAGCATTATGGGCGCCGCGCCTAATGCGCGCATTATCCCGTCTAATCCTTTTTTTTAATCTATTTTTATTTTATGTTATATTAAAAAATCTATTTTTTTATTAAAAATATATTTAATGACTTAAAAATACGAAACGCATTATGACGCTTATTCTTCGCATTGACACGCCTAAACTTGTGATTCTTGATTCTCGGCATCAACGCATCACAACGCATTACACTTTTTAGAACACTGATTTTTGACTTGTAAAAAAGCACATCTAAATTCTTAAAATTTTCTCAACGAAATTTCCTCCATTTCTCCACAAATGATCACCGAATACATAGGAGAACGCTCGCCCCTCCATTTCTACATATCTGGAGATGCACAAAAACAACCATCCAAAATTTCAGAAGTCATTCTTCAAAGGCAGATTTTTGTATGCTTCAGAAGAGCAATTTGCAGTAACTTCTATTAAAAATGACACGAATTAAAAAATCTATTTTTTTTATATAAAAATATATTTAATGCCTTAAAAATACGAAACGCATTATGACGCTTATTCTTCGCATTGACACGCCTAAACTTGTGATTCTTGATTCTCGGCATCAACGCATCACAACGCATTACGTATTTTAGAACACTGATTTTTGACTTGTAAAAAAGCACATCTGATTTAATAAATTCTTAAAATTTTCTCAACGAAATTTCCTCCATTTCTCCACAAATGATCACCGAATACATTGGAGAACGCTCGCCCCTCCATTTCTACATATCTGGAGATGCACAAAAACAACCATCCAAAATTTCAGAAGTCATTCTTCAAAGGCAGATTTTTGTATGCTTCAGAAGAGCAATTTGTAGTAACTTCTATTAAAAATGACACGATATAAAGCTAGAGTTATCGGTATGTCCCAAGAAGCTCATGTCAATGTTGTCAGGGAAATCTAAAAGAAGTTGTAATGCAGATTCAGATGAATCCTCCAATGCATTAGAGCGAGATGAATCTGATGGTGGGATGACCTCTTCTGTGTAGGATTTGCAGTCTGTATCTTCATCTTGGTTGCTCCCTGCAGCCCAGGAACCCGCCGCAGTGAGTGCCATTTCAGTTTTGGAACCTGAAATTGATTCACACGAGACTGCACTTTGACAATCAGTTTTCTCTCCCTCATCAAACTTTCGAAATGCATCACCCACCTCAGAATTCCACAAGCGCAAGAAAAAATCAGAATTAGATTTCCCCCCAGACATCGGGATCAACAGTAGTGATTCCTTTGAAAGGCGAGCTTCAGCTTCAAGCCGAGCGCTCTCCCATTGTGCCATATGACGAGTAGAAGAAGATGCAGGGAGTTGTTTGAGAACACCGGTAGAGGTTGAAGAAAGCTCGTGAGTCTGAGGATCAATACCCATCTTAACCAAACGCTTCTTCAGATGAGTGTTCCACAAGTTCTTGATTTCATTGTCTGTCCTTCCGGGTAGTTGAGCAGCAATGGCAGCCCATCTGAATGCAGTCGAGTTAGCACATTCTCAAAAAGTAACACCACAACGAAATTGCTGCAATTCAATTCAAATCACCTGTTTCCAAGAATGCCATGGAGTTGTATGACTAGCTTCTCTTCTTCGGGACTAAAGGGACCACGTTTAATCTCTGGCCTAAGATAGTTTGTCCATCGTAGCCGGCAACTCTTCCCACACCGAAGAAGACCTGTAAAGGGACAAAACAAGAATCACCACTCAAATTGTTCTATAGAGAAGAACTTCATGCACTTGTTTTAAGATGAGAGAAATTTACCATAAAAGGTTTAATGTGAAGACTAATGGTGGACAACAGATTGGCATAAGATGTGTTAGCAAAGCTATATATGTATAAACAATATAAAAACAGACTGTCCATATAAACTTCCTAGTCCTATTTCAAACTTCATAGCAGCACAATTTCCACTTCTTATGCTACAATTATAGAACTACTTTGTCTTTGATGAGATGCAGCTTGCGGTTCATCGGATTTTACTAAAAATTCGAAGTCTGAGAGCATAACTTAGAACTCCAAAAATCTCGAGGATCAGGATAGATTCTCCAACTTATCAAATTCAAGATCAATGTCATCCAAATAAATACCAACAATTGACTTTGTAGAAGCATCACAATATGGCTAGATTATAAGCCAAAAGCACACAAGAAGCATATCAGTCATTTTGAAGAAAGCTTTTTGACTAACGGAGAGCAAAAGAATGCCATTTTAAAATTATCCTTCTTTTTCTATTGTTAAATCTTTGAGCAAGAACACTGAGAAGTGTCAGTGTCATATTTCTTTCTTTCTCTCTTTCCTTTCTTCCTCTCTAAAATTAATATTTGTAGTAAAAAGACAAAATATCCCACTACATACAAGTATAATGTAAGTCCAACATTGAACAGTTTCTATTTCACGAACTATTATTC